AATAAATATATCAACTAGCCCAGCCACAGTAACAACAACTAAGCTATTGCAACCACAGGACAGACTATTGGCCCCAGTCACACGGGGGAAATTGACGCAGCCAAAGTGCGGCTTTTTTGAGCCACAGCAGAATAGACACGCAGTGGCGGGATCAGACAGATCCCCCGAGCCACTGTGCAGTTGCTCCCCAGCACGATCAGATGCCGGGGGGGGGGAGCCACGGGACGGAAAGCGAGGCAGCCGGCTGCACATGTGCGCGCATGCGCAGTTTGGCCGGGAGCTTCGAATGCTGCGGAAGACAAGCGCGCTGGCGATCCCACGGCCGCCCTTGCTGTGGAGCTTCAGGTAAGTAGTACTCTTTTCTTGGGTTTTTTTTTTGATGCACGCTTTCTCCGGAAAGGACGGATCTGGGACGGGTGCGCTCCGCTTCCCAGATGTTGCGTTGTGATCGCACCCATTTGATGCACCCCCAATCCGTCCCTCTTGCAGGGCAAAACCTCCTGTGTGACCGGGGCCTGCTGTAGCCAAATCACTCGCTCACAATTTTAATGCCAGGAACTCACAAAGTAGAATTTTTGCTCACAAGACTCCACAGCTTAGAGGGAGCACTGATTCCGAGTCCAGCATACAATCTTGGGCATTTTTGTGAGGCCACAAAACACCGCACTTAGTGCAAGGGGCTCCTTTTGAAATAGAAGAGCAATCCCAAGCAGGTCTACTCAGACGTAAGTCTCATTTCATTCAGGAAAACTTTCTTCGGACTGCAGCCATAGCTCCCATTTTACTGTAGGGACTATGACGAAGGAAAGTTGTAAAATACATGAACACTTGGGGGTTCCAGATGTTACCCAAAGTTATACAATACATAGGTAAAGAGGTCAGCGCATATGGTGCAGACCACCTGTGAGGGATGACAGGCTAATCCCAATGCAGTATGATTTTTCTTGTTGTTCAGTCACACAGTCAGATACCTTTAAGGAAAAGCGGCACAGGAATGACGGAGTGAGCTCCCGTCTCTAGTTCCAGCTCCTGCCAACCTAGCAGTTCGAAAGCAAGAAATTGCAAGTAAATAAATCGGTACCACTTCGGAGGGAAGGTAACAGCATTCCGTGCGCCTTGGTGTTTAGTCATGCCGGCCACATGACCACGGAAACGTCTTCGGACAGTGCCGGCTCTTCGGCTTGGAAATGGAGATGAGCACCGCAACCCTAGAGTCGGACTCGACTGGCTTTCGAGCAAGGGAAACCTTTACCTTTACCTATAGATAGGGACTCTGGGGCAAGGGATGCTCTGTCTTCTTGGTGCTTGGGGGGGTCAACAATGGGAGGGCTTCTAGTGTCCTGGCCCCACTGGTGGACATCCTGATGGCACCTGGTATTTTTGGCCACTGTGTGACACAGAGTGTTGGACTGGATGGGCCTTTGGCCTGATCCAACACTGGCATCTCTTATGTTCTTATGTTCTTATAATGGTACAGGCTTTCACTCTTAATGTTCCATTATCTGGCACTCCCTTTTGAGGGGATACAGTCTTCTGTACCTTGGGAATGTGAAATCCAAGCATGTCCACATCCTTGCCAGTTTGTCTGGGGACCCCAAATAAAAAGACAAATTGGAAACGTTGAATCTCGTGAATCACCGCATTGGTGTAGGGCAGTTTTTTCCGCTCTTGATAGCCAATAGAAAGTGAAGACCCAAAGACATCTTCTAACTCCTTCTGGACTTTTTCTAAGGGAAAGAAAACCAGAGTTTTATTTGGGACACTCTACAGTAAAGAAAAATAAATCAAAGCTTTCTCTTGAACGCTACATCAGGTAAACAACGAGAGACACGGAATGCCAACGGGATCATTGACAACATCTTTCAGTTAATGAAACGTGAACATTAAATGTTCTCAGAGAGTAGCCATTTTGATCTGCAGCTGAACAGCTAGACTGAAATCCAGAAGCGCTTTAGAGACAAGCAGAGGTCATTTCGGGGGGATCGCAGTTCCCCCGGGTGAGGTACGGGGGCGGGGCTCATGACGAAGCCCCGCCCCCTGCTTCCGGCCGCCCCGCTTCCGGCCCTCATTCAGCCAGGAGGAGGCAGGAGAAGAGGGAGGGAAAATATTGTTGGTCCCTAAGGTGCTGCCAGACTTCAATCTAGATAAGCATTAAATTAGCAGCAAAATGGAGGAACCTGACATCTTAAGATGGACCACTTTGGTCTGGGTCTATACTAACAGAACACTAAAAATTAAGAAATGAAATTTAAAATAAAGAAAAGGAACAGAAAAGCACGAACTCACAAGGGAGTTGACTGCTCTCTGGCATGACCATTATATCAGAAGCGTGATAAAATGCTTCTTGCATCCTCCTAGCATGCAGATTTAAATAAAGAGCTTACTGCAGATCAATGGGACCAAATTTGGAACTCACCGCCCACCACCTCGAGAGCTTTGAGCATTCGATTGCAAAACTTTAAGCCTGTTTCTCACTGGAACCTGACTCCTGCACAACTAGGTCACTCAAACCCTACTACGCCTCCAGTCTACTGGAGACAATGTGGTGAGCGAGGGACTTATTTCCATGGCTGATGGTCTTGTAACTTGATAGGTAAATTTTGGACCCAAATTCAAGACCAAATTCATAAGATCAAAGATTCCTGGATTCCTAGGACCCCTGAACTGTCCCTTCTTAATTTGTGGGATCATTGTAACGTTCCCAAGGTAAAACGAGAATTTATTATGATAATGTTAATTGGTGACAAATGTCTTATTGTTTCTCACTAGAAATCTACATCAATTCCATCACTGCAAGAGTGGTTCTTAAAATTGTAGGACCTTTTTATTCTGGACAAGATTGTCAACAATTTAGATAAGTCTAGAGGTTCCTCAAATCAGCCCAGCTGGCTCTTCGGCTTTGAAACGGAGATGAGCACCGCAACCCTAGAGTCGGATTCGACTGGCTTTCGAGCAAGGGAACCTTTACCTTTACTTTAATGCTAATTTATATCTGTTAAGATGAGTGTGACATTTAGCTCTATATCTGTATTTATCTTTTGCTGTAATTCATTGATTGCACTCCATTCTATCGTCAGTCTGTAATATTGCTATATTGTTCAATAATTTTTTAAACATTAAAAAATGCTTCTTGCATCTTATTAATTCTTCCTTTCCTCAGACTTGAGACCGTAACAGAAATAGTGAAGATGATGGATCTCCACCCATTGTGCAAGGTAAAATGCACATTCATGCTCCTCTATTCCAAGCGGGGCCATGCACGAAGTAGAGAGGAATTCTAATCCTCTCCTGTTTTCACTCCTCAAAGCTGAGTTCACTGCGCTGGTGTTAGCATTTTAAAGGAAAGTGTTCTTTGAAAACTTAAGATAACAGTAAGAAAAGTTCAATGAACCCAGTTTTAATCATTATTTTTCTTCTGGCAGGAGTTTGGACTTCAGAAATGAAGATAATTTTTAAGGGTTCTTTTACAATAACTTGATTAAAGGAATAGAGCACGAATCACATAAGGTGGTGGAAGAGATGGAACTCAAATGTGTCTGGAAACTACTGCCTATTCAGTGTTTGGACTGTGCTTTAGAAGTTGTGAGACCGTAATATGACAGAACAGCTACTACAGTAGCACTTTGGAGACCAACAAAATTTTGGGGCTATAAACTTTCAAGGGAAGGAAAGGTGGCATGATATAGCCCCATCTCATCAGCAAGGATGGGCACAAACCACATTTTTGCAGTTTGGTTCCTGGTTCCTGGCTGAATCATGGACTGAACCACGAACCCATATGAACCGAGAGGTTAGTTCACGGACCAACCTGGTTTCTTATCAGTTTGTGAGCCATTTAAAATTTAAACCCCTGCTTTCTGCTCCCCACGGCTTTTTCTGGGAGCAGAAAGTAGGGGTTTACAAATAACTGAGCTCATCCCCTACCACAAATTGTGTTAGTCTTTAAGGTGCTACGGGAATCTTGCTCTTTTCTACTGCTACAGACTAACATGGTGACCCATCTTGACTTAGCAAGGCACATGCTGAATCTGGTTTATTACACTGATGGGGAAGGAGATCTGGAGATGGGGGAGTTAAAGCTTACTCCCTTGTCATGGACAGATCATTACCCAATAGAGTTTAGACTTACTGCTTTCTCTGTCCTCCACAGGAATGGTGGACCCGTTAAGATTGTCCACCCCAGGCATTTAATGGATCCTGATGGTTTCCCATTGGCCCTTGGTTCTGTTGAGGCCCTGATGTCAGACCCCACAGCAGGCAATGAAGTACACACTTGCAGGAAGGTTTTACTTTATTGAAGCCATGAAGTACTTAGAACAGATTCTCTGTTCAGAATAACGAGTTGAGCGTTTGACAGACAGGTTAAAGCAAGTTCGTAATTACACTAGCCAATAGGTATGGTTCCCGCTCCCGCCTAGAAGGCGCCCAGCGCGCCCAAACCCTGAGAAGCAACGGTTCCTTACAGTTAAACAATTAGACTATTCCCACACTACATATTCATTACAGACTAAGCAAAAGCCTCTTGCTACACACCACCAGTGGCCTTGGGTTGATAACACGCCATCAAAGCAAAGCTAGCATACATGGAAAGGAATGCAGTGGAGGAGATGAGCGCCTGGGGTTGAGGGTGGACATGCGCACCAGAGTATACTACTGTTACCATGGCAATAGAGGTTGTTGACAAGCGAGGGGGGGGAAGGGGATGCAGACATGCCTAATACATACATTAAAGACACATTGGCAGCTTGCTGACACCTGACCTCTCTCTGGAATATGGAGGTTCCCTGGGATGTTGACACAATTGCCCCTAAGCACCCTCTCCCCAATGCACAGAGCCAAGACGTCTCCCTGGTTTACTGGAGGACAGATGGTGATGAAAAGGGCCACTGCTGAATCCATCCAATAGTTCATATAGTCCAGCATCTTATTTCCCACAATGGCCGCTCAGACCTGCCAGAAAGCCCATAGTAGGATTATAGAGGCCGAAGCATTCCCACTGGTACCTCCCTCCAGTTTCAGACCATTTAAAGTGTCTGAGTGCATGGAGAGTCCCTTTCCTGGGGGAACAAATGAGTTCAAGAGATGAGACCTTCTTATGTGGATGTGAACGTAATGATGGAACGTTAACAGTAGTGGCTCAGGTTCATAGCTAGTGTGGTGGAGCTTCTGAATATTATTTCTCCCCATCATTCAGTTTGGTGTCGTGGTTAAGTGCGCGGACTCTAATCTGGGAGAACCGGGTTTGATCCCCCACTCCTCCACTTGCACCTGCTGGATGACCTGGGGCAAGCCATAGGCCGCGTTCAGACTGGCAATTTGAAGTGCTAGGGAGTCATGGCAAAGAAAACAGACCTGGAATGGCTTAGTTGCGGTATTCCTGTTCACACCGCAGCGAATGAAGCAGGAGGATACTGTGGAGGGAGCGCAAGGGAGCGTTCACACTTTGGGCCGCCCTGGTGGGCTGTTAGCGGCTGTTTCCGCACTGGGCTGCATGCGCCCATGCGCATGGGCGCAGTGGCAAATAGAGCAGGATCATGCAGGCGCCAATGGCGCCTGCCCGCAGAAACAGCCGGTGCCTATTATCAATGACTGCGAGTTGTTCCCGCCTTAGCAGCGCTTGCGTTCACACTCAGGGAACCGGAATCAACCCACTCTACACACGGTTTGCTACCACTTTCACCTGGTATCTTTTAAACTCAGGAGGGAAGCGGCACAAGACGGCTTGAGTACGGCTGGGGGACGCCTGACAGATGCGCCTGCGTGAACCTTCCCCTTTAATCCACTCCTGAAATGTTTGGCTGCCGAGCCAAACTGCCAGCCTGAACGCGGCCATAGTTCTGGCACAGCTGTCCTTGAAAAAGAGCAGTTTCTGTCAGAGCACTCTCAGCACCACCTACCTCACAGGGTGTCTGTTGTGGGGAGGGGAAGGGAAAGGAGTTTGTAAGCTGCTCTGAGACTCCTTTGGGTAGTGAAGGGCGGGGTATAAATCCAATCTCTTCTCTTCTTCTTCTTCTTTGGATTCCACTGCAATTCTGAGAGTCAGCTCATCTTGTTGACATGATGTTTTGGTGCCACCTTCTGGGCCACTAATTATTGCACTCTTGCATAGAAAGTTTGGCTTTTAGCTTTGCCATATGCCCAAAGAATGACAGGAGGATTGGCCAAACGGCCTGATCATTACAAGCCCCCCTGTGAAAGAAGAAGAGGAGGAAGAATAGAAGAGATTGGATTTATACTCCACCCTTCACTACCCGAATTGTGGATTTACCTGTTGGATTTTTGTAAATACTACACATGTAGTATTCTTAGGCCCCTGCCACACGGGGGGAGAAAGAACGGCCAAAGTGCAGCTTTTTAGAGCCTCACCAAAAGAGACACGCGGCGGCGGGATCAGATAGATCCCCTGAGTGGCCCGCAGTTCCTCCCCGGCACAATCAGATGCCGGGGGGAAGCCACTGAAGGGAGAGCGAGGCAGCCGAACTGTGCATGTGTGCGCATGCGCAGTTCAGCCGGGAGCCTTGATTGCTCCAGAAGACGAGCGCGCCAGTGATCTCACGGCTGCACTTGCTGCGCCATTTCTGGTAAGTCCTGCTCTTTTGCAGGTTCTTTTTTGCAGCGGATTTTCTGGCTGAAGGGACGGATCGGGGACGAGTGCACGCCACTTCCCAGATGTTGCAGCTTGATCGCACCCGTTTGCTGCGCCCCCGATCCGTCCCTCTTCTGGGCCAAAACCTCCCATGTGACCAGGGCCTCAGTTAAACTGCCACCAGCTTTATTGTTACTCATTAGTAATTTTTAAAATTATTCTGTTCTATTCTTAGCGTCCTTCTGCACAGTTGTTTTTGCTCTTGACTGGTGTGAGAGTGCCAAAGGCTACCCCCGTTTATTTTTAAAATTATTCTGTTCTATTCTTAGTGTCCTTCTGCACAGTTGTTTTTGGCCTTGACTGGTGTCCTCAGCCAAAGGCCCAGCAGAACATCTCTGCCTTGCATACCCTGTGGAAGGGTAACAGCTCCTGCAGGACACGGATGTCTTCCGGCAGGGCATTCCACCAGGCAGGGCACCAGGCAGGGCATTCCACCATGTTGGAGACCCTGAGCTAAAGCTTCTAAGTATGCACCATCCAGTGCACCTTTCTCTCATTCTCTGGGTCTGCAGTTTGATATCGGTATTGAAAGCTTTCGATATTGATATTTTGATGCATTTTGATATTAACAGCTTTTAGGGTGTCACCCAAATATTCTTCGGATTCTGAAGTATTCATTTCATGTCGACAAAGCCTTACCTACGTGGGTTGCTCTCTTTCTTGTCCAGCCTTTAAATGTTTCGGTTCCTTTTTAGAATGAGCCCTAGAGCAGAAGCCAGGTTCAGACAGCCATCCGTTCTTGTTTGCAGGCGCGGATGGGTGCGATGACTGCAAAAGGCCGGTCACGCGTTTTCGGCAGCTGGCAAAGTAGCTGGGAGTTCCTCTCATGAAGGAACAGTGCTCCAGCAAACTGGCTCCAAATGTAGACTTGGAGCCAGTGGAACTGCCCCGCCACATTGGGGAACGTTAGAGAGGTGAGGCCTGCAAGGCATTTTTCGTACTGCGCGTTCCTAGTCCAAGGTCACTTTACACTAGGAGCTCCCCTCATGCAAGAGGCAGGAGAGAACTAATTTGTCCCTTCCCCACTGCAGCCTCCCAATCCCCCGCAAGCCCCACAACTCTGGGAATAAAGTCCACCAGGGCCAAGAATAGCTGCTGAGGGGGCAGAAAGTTTAATCAAATATGGTTTCTGCACTATAAGAACATAAGAATATAAGAACATAACAGAAGCCAATGTTGGATCAGGCCAATGGCCCATCCAGTCCAACACTCTGTCACACAGTGGCCAAAAATACCAGGTGCCATCAGGAGGTCCACCAGTGGGGCCAGGACACTAGAAGCCCTCCCACTGTTGCCCCCCTCCAAGCACCAAGGATACAGTGCATCACTTGCCCTAGCCTGAGCGTTCCTAGCTATACCTTGTGGCTAATAGCCACACTAATAAGGTCCATATGCTTATCTAATTCCCTCTTGAGGCTGTCCATGCTTGTAGCTGCCACCACCTCCTGCGGCAGTGAATTCCATGTGTTAATCACTCTTTGGGTGTATTATGTCTGAACTTGTATTATGTCTGAACTGACCAAGTATCATATCAGATATCAGATACAGACAGAGACAAAGTTAGGTATAGATATATGCTGATTATCTGGTGCTGGTGGAAAGCACTCTTAAGTCGCTGCCAACTTATGGCAATCCTATAGGATTTTCAAGGCAAGAGGCATTCAGAGGTGGTTTGCCCTTGCCTGCCTCTGCATAGCATCCCAGGGCTTCCTTGGTGGGCTCCCATCCAAGTACTAACCAGGGATGACCCTGCTAAGCTTCTGAGATCCAATGAGAAGGGGCTAGCCTGGGCTATCCAGGTCAGGCATGCTAATCCTCAACCTAATGTGAACCTTAAAATGATTGCAGTAAGTGGGAAAAGGAGCTGTGGTGGCTCAAGTGGTTAAGACGCTGAACTGCAGACTGTGGAAGGTCAGTAGTTCAGCAGTTCGAGACCCGAGTGTGCCACATGACGGAGCGAGCTCCCGTCTCTAGTTCCAGCTCCTGCCAACCTAGCAGTTCGAAAGCAAGAAATTGCAAGTAGATAAATAGGTACCACTTCGGCGGGAAGGTAACAGCGTTCCGTGCGGCTTGGTGTTTAGTCATGCTGGCCACATGACCACAAAAACATCTTCGGACAGCGCTGGCTCTTCGGCTTTGAAACGGAGATGAGCACCGCAACCCTAGAGTCCGATTCGACTGGCTTTCGAGCAAGGGAACCTTTATCTTTACCTTTAAGTGGAAAATGTTGGTGGGGGGAATCTTTTCTACAAGGATAAAGATGTGCCTTGCTCATAAGGCGCCAATCTCTCTCACCTTGGATATCCGGGTAAACTGCCATCAAGGACACTGCCCACTGCAGAGTAGTGGCGGTTGTGTCTGTCCCAGCAACAAAGAAGTCGAAAATGCACTGAGTCAGGTTCTCTTCATTAAATGTAGAATTGGGGTCATGCTTGCTCTGTTGTTGACAACAGGAGAAACGGAACAGAGTTTATGAGAAATGTACCGTTATGATCAATGCCCTTCCTGAAGACTCCTAGTAGGAAAGTAAAAGAAAGTGATGTTGTAGCATGGATTCAGAAAACTGGACTTTTACTGGGGTTCAGGAATTATCGGACTAGCCAAATAAATTTGGCTCAATTATACCCTATCGGGACTGTCCCCATAGGGTATAATAATCTCCCCCTTGAAGGGGGGGTTGTTCCTATCACTGAAGGGAAGGCAAATTGCCTTTCCTTCAATGAAGGGAGCGTGCAGTCTCTGCAGAGCAACTCCAGAGAGGTTTAAACTTTAAAGTTTAAATCCCCCCTGGAGCAGGGAGAAGGGAAAGTGTTTAAATTTAAAACACTTTCCCTTGCTTCTGGGACTGAGGTCGCAGGAGCCCCAGAAGCAAGGGAAAGCATTAAACACTTTCCCTTCATCGCCCAGCAAAAGGATTCCCCGAATGGATGCCGAATATACAGCATCCATTCGGGGAATCCCTGTTTGGCCAGCTGAAGCAGGCCCGAATAATGACAAATAGGCATTATTCAGTTTGTTTTTCAGTTTGTCCGAACTGAATGCACATTCCTAGAGACCTCCCTGTGTTTGGTTATATAGTGCATTTTATTGTTGAACTTTTAAAATACAAAATACACAACACCAATTAATTGGCACACAAATTAGAAAAATGCATATATTTTATAGGGAAAGTTTGATGCAAGGGAAAAAATGGCATAACCTTAAAGTAGCACTGTTTCCAAACTGAAATGGGGACTTTTAAAGTTGGAACAGCAGGCAGGGATGAGAAATTTGCAGTCATCCTACTGTTTGTGGAATGGCCAAGCTGTCTGAACCCAAAGCCACTCTTGATCAGGGAATCACTGAGGCCAAAGGTTCAGTCAATCAGACCTGGTGAATTCCACCTCTATTCAAAGATGCCCACCAGATGCTCTGTATTAAGTGGTAACTATTTGAAGAGCCAGTTTGGTGTAATGGTGAAGAGTGGTGGACTCTAATCTTGAGAACTGGGTTTGATTCTCCTTTTCTCCACATGCAGCCACCTGGGTAACCTTGGGACAATCACAGCTCTCTCAGAGCTGTTCTCTCAAGAGCAGTTCTCTCAGCCCCACCTACCTCACCAGGTGTCTATTATGGGGAGAGGAAGGGAAGGAGATTGTAAGCCACTCTGAGACTCCGAGTGAAGGGTGGGGTATAAATCCAACTCTTCTCCTTTTCTTCTTCTGATGTTGTTAGGGCTTTGTGACTGTTTTCAAGAATGTCTGCAGCTGGTAAACCAAACTAAACTGTGGGGGAAAGCACTCCTGGCTTCTCCATTACCTGTTTTTTCAAGCAGAAGAGCAGCATCCAGAATCAGCACCAACTATACACCTCCTCCTTCATGGGGAGTGCTACACCATAATGCAAACCCAACTCCCAGTTTGGTTTTACCCAAGGCCCAACAATACTTCCCCTTGTCTAAGTTAAGATGGAGTTTCTTTTCCTCATCTAGCCTCCAGTAAGGTTTCCACTGCTACTCTAGATTTAGATGATGAAGAAGAAGAGATTGGATTTATACCCTGCCCTTCACTTGGAGTCTCAGAGTGGCTTACAAACTCCTTTCCCCTCCCCTCCCCACAACAGACACACTGTGAGGTAGGTGGGGCTGAGAGAGCTCTGAGAGAACTGTTCTTGAGAGAACAGCTCTGAGAACTATGGCTTGCCCAAGGTCATCCAGCAGCTGCAAATGGAGGAGTGGGGAATCAAACCAGGTTCTCCCAGATTAGAGTCCATGCACTTAACCACTACACCAAACTGGCTAGATAGGGTATCTATCAGCAATTTACTGAAGGCCCTTCACTCCAGTTCTCTGGATGATTTCACCCAGCAGTTTCACGGAGATGTTGAAAGCATGGGGGTCGAAATGGAACCCTGAAGTTCACTGCAGGTCAGAGGCCAAAAGGCAGAGTATCCCAGTCGTATCATTCAGTGTTATTAGTCTGGAGAAGCATATGATATGGATAAACATATGGAGCAGAGGTCTATCAGTGGATATTAGCCACAAGGTATAGATAGGAACTCTCAGTCTGGGGCAAATGATGCTCTGTACTCTTGGTGCTTGGGGGGGCAACAGTGGGAGGACTTCTAGTGTCCTGGCCCAACTAGTGGACCTCCTGATGGCACCTGGTATTTTTGGCCACTGTGTGACAGAGTGTTGGATGGGATGAGCCAATGGCCTGATCCAGCATTGGCTTTTCTTATGTTCTCTCATGACTGAAAAGGGACATGATCACACTCTTTAGATCCTCAAAGGGCTGCACCGTGGAAGATGGCAAAGATTTGTTCTCTGCTACTCCAAAGGGCAAGAGTAGATCTAATGGCTTTAAATGATAGGAGAATAGACTTCTGTTGACTATTAGGAGTACTATGATGGTAACAGCATTTTTGAGCATTTTGACAATGCAACCAGTAACCTAAGTGGGGACGGTCTTCCTCCCTAGAGGTCTTTAAGAAGAATATTGGACAGCCATCTGTGGGATGTAATGTGGGATGGGCTTTGATTGTCTATAAGGTCCCTCCCAACTCTTGAGCCCCATAAGAAAGACCACAACACTCGTGTAGGCCTGCTAACTCCACTCGTAAATTCCTGTTTTTTCAGGACCGGGGAGCCTCTGTTCTGCTTGTGTTTTGCTCCCTCTAGTGGTCGATTCAATATTATACTGGTTTATGTCTGACATATCTCTGTGAAGGTTTTTATGCCAGGTGTAATATTGAATCAACCACTAGAGGGAGCAAAACATGTATGGATTAGGAGGGAAAAACAAGAAGCAGGAATTTATAAGCAAGGAAAATGAGCCTGCACAAAATCCCCAAGTGTATTATTTATATTATATTCTTTGATTATAATCCACTTTAGTGACAGACTTTAGTATGGAGGATGTATTGGGTGGGATGGACTGCAATAAAAATATTAGGTGTGAGTGTTAGGTAACCCTATTAGTGGCCTTCCAATGGCCACTGTTCCATAAGAAGAGGGAGTGAAGAAATGGCTCAGAGGAGTTGAACACAAATCCAGCACTTACTTTTGTTATTTGAGATAGATAGTAATCTGTAAAATCCTGTGGCTCATGCTGCGCCTGATGCTCCTTGTGGTATGCGATTTCCTTCCTTGCAAATTCCAGCACAACTTCTGTGAAGTTTACTGCCTTCCTATAAGGTCCTGGGATAATTTTCTCAAGCCATGGGTAAATTTCGTACAGCTGCAGGAAACACGGAAGAAAAACCCTGTCACTGTCATTGGAATCCTCAGAATCACAGTCCATAAACCAACAGGTTTGGGCTATTATTTCTTCATCGTCATGATATAATGGGATTCATAATGTCTAAGGATGTTCCCAGGAGAATGCTGAATGAAGGAAAGGGCAGGGCCTCTGGAAGATGGGAACATTCTGACTCAGTGCAAAAGAAAAAAAGACTACTCACTACATTCATTAAGGTAGTGCTGTATTCTAAGATAAAGTCAACGGCTTCCCTCAACTTGTGGAATTTTTCATCGTCCATAGAAAAGCGGTGTCCAAAGGCCATGGCACAGATCACGTTGGCGACAGAATTTTTGATGGGTAATGAAGGGTCCATGGGCTGCCCTGAAAATAACATTGTTGAAAGGGTGTTAACATTAGTTTTGCCTCTCCTATTGACAGGGGTCATTTCGTAGAAAAAGAGCTAGGGGAACTCATTAGCATAACTCATTAGCATATGCCACACCCCCTGACATCACCGGAAGTGTGTCATAAGGCCACACCCCCTGACATCACTGGAAATGTGTCATACGGCCACACACCCCGCCCCCAACGGTCCCGGCCGGCGGGAGTGCAAGGAAGCCCCGCGAAGGCCCTCCCTGGCCCCAGGCAGGCAGGGGTGGGGAGAGGCAGGGAGGAAGCAACTTACCCTCCCTCTTCTCCTGCCTCCTCCTGGCTGAATGAGGGCCGGAAGCGGGGTGGCCGGAAGCAGGGGGCGGGGCTTTGTCATGTGCCCCGCCCCCCTACCTCACCTGGGGGAACTGTGTTCCCCCGCGTTCCCCCCCGAAATGACCTCTGCCTATTGATAGGGTGTTACACTCTAAGAATCAACTTAGGGATTGTTCCAAATGCAAATCTCCCAGCTGTATACCTCTATCAACTCATAGCTCCAAATTTGCGCAGAGCCATATCCTTGACTTTGACCAGCTTCAAGCTTGTCAATAATGATGGAGTTGTAATCAGAACTGGGAGGGTTCTGAACATGTATGACTTTTCCTAGATCAGAAGACTTCACCCCACCATGCTAGAACCAAATGCCTCTGAATCCAGGACCAGCTCACCACAGAGTTCACCTCCAGCCTCCTTCCCAAGCAAACCACCCAAATCCTTATCCTCGAGCAGATAACTGGCAGCAGGAAGGGTTCACCAGAAACAAGAGATGTCTTCTTACACATCTCATTTTGAATCCCAAAGAGTATTCAGGAGCATTCTTGGGAGCATCATTTCCTGAATGGGATCATAGGATTTGTGGTATCGTGTGCCTACTAATTCATTTTGGGAGGCATGGGGAATTAAAGTGTCATGCTCTTCCGCTAGGACATGGCCACGCTACGCTTTTGAAGCACTGTGAAAATGCAGCCGGGGATACCGTGAGAGACAGTCCACCCAAAGACTTCTGCAGACTTGGACATGTGCCTGCATAATCTCCTGTCGACGCCTACCTTTTGCACGTGCAAAAGTCTCGACAAGCTGATGGGCCTCCTCTTCGATTTGGTGCTCCACGCCTTTCTTCCCCAGTCCCAGCTTCCGCAAGGTGACTAGCCCGAACTTCCTCTGCTGCTTCCAGTTATGGCCGTTTGACAATATAATGCCTAAAGCAATCAAGAAACAATGTGAAATTACTATGTACAAACTGTCCTCTTCTCCTGTTGGGGGGGAGGGGCACGTTTAATTTATACATGTAGATTTATACACAATACAGATCTCGCTGTCTGAGTTATGCATGATGCATACCTAACACTAATTCACCGAGACACGTGGACTATTAATAAAGATGATCCTGATTTTTCCCCCCAGCTCAAGCCCGTCAATAAAGGAGGTACTGCTGTATGTGCACTTTATTACAGTCGCGACGCCATCATAATACTAATGGTTTTAATAACTTTATTGTGTGTTTTATATCGATTTTATATTGTGGTTTTCTTTGTGGTTTTCTTTGTAAGCCGCCCTGAGCCTCTCTCGGCGGGGTAGGGCAGGGTAAAGATCAAATAAATAAATAAATATTAAATCAGTGAGACCAGGAGAGCATGAATTAAAATTTGCCAACTCATTGTATTGTTATAATGTGAGCCATACATCTTGATTAGCTTAACATGCAGATGCAGAGAGAATATGTTCTTAACACGGTCCCGTCTGTTACCCGAACCGGTCCAATTTGGATCTGGGAGCCCAAGTCAACTCTGCTTACAGAGGATGGGCGGTGCGTGAGTTCTAACCCGTATATCCAGAGGTCAGATTGGCGTCCGAAAGCTCACTATCTCCCGAGGAAGTCAGACAACACACTGGTTTTATGAATAAATGTTGCCTCTTTACTAAAGCAGTTTCTTCAGACATACAAAAACAGATGCATACAAGATTCACACAGCTCCTTAGTTACAATAGCATATGGAAACAATTAAAGCATAGAAAATAACAAAAGCATCAAATAAAGGGGGGATGACTTCACAAATAGGCGGCTATACTTATCTGAGGTCCGCTGAGAAGAAATCTCCTCCTAGAAGAGGGGGGGGGGCAACTAACGTATCAACTGGTGAACTCTGAACACACAAAGGCTGGTCCTGCCACGCCATGTGTGCGTTCCCTGGTCGCGACTCCGGGGAACTTAGAGAGTCACCTGAAGCACCTTAGTGCTCTAAGGGGAAGAAGCAGAAGCTGGAGAGAAGAAAGCGAACAAAGCCGCGGTTCCCTTTTTACCAGCTCTGTTCTGGGCATGGCTTTACCTGTCATAAATCCTAAGATCCGTCCTCTATTCTAAAGCTATAGGTCCACTAAGGGGTGACGTCCTAAGGGGGCAGTGGGCAATATGAGGATATTCTATCCCTACATCAAAGTGGGGGCCATGTGGTGGGATGTGAACTTCCGTCTCCCTTGGCAACCTTTGGAGTAGAGATGAGCCTGGTCCTCAGAGCCATAAACAGTATTGTCTTTTGATGCCCAAACCAGATAGCAGGAAGGGAGTTGGTGCTTTCCCACAATCCATCAAGGGTGGTCACGCCTGGTGCTTCTCCAAATGTCCCTTTGTGCATACCGGTGGTGACCTTCTCTGGTCAGGAGCACAGTGGAAAATTCCAGGGAAAGCATGTGCGCTGTGGCTGGCATCTCAGCAATGCCCATCAGGGACAGGGTGAGGTGTAAGGCCAGCTATTCAAGCGCATGGCAGCACGCACACACACAACAATAGGCCCTGGGTCCCAAAAGCACAGATACATAGACATTTGAGCAATACTTCATAAGCACAACACAGATAAAATGCAAATACAAGCCCACATGGTAACACGTCATCGTAACATGGTCCCTGCTTTCCCATAGCGATTTTAATCGATAAGCAGTGGATGTGTCCATGATGTTTTTATGAATGACTATTTGTGAATTTTTATGAATGACTATTGGTTGCTTTACGATGTCGTGAGCCACCCTGAGCCCATTTGCGGGGTAGGGTGGGGTGTGAATGGAATAGAATAAATAAATAATTTATAACCCCATGGATCCTGTGGGTGTGTAAAGCACCGTCAAGTTGCGGCCAACTTATGTCAACTCCGGCAACGAGCTCTCAAGGCAGGCGAGAAGGGGAGGTGGTTTGCCATCACCTTCCTCTAATCTGGGAGAACCGGGTTTGATTCCCCACTCCTCCACTTGCACCTGGCTGGATGACCTTGGGCAAGCAAGCTACAGTTCTGTCAGAGGTGTCCTTGAAAAGAGCCGTTTCTCTCAGAGCTCTCTCAGCCCCGCCTACCTCACAGGGTGTCTGTTGTGGGGAAGGGAAGGGAAAGGAGTTTGTAAGCCGCTCTGAGACTCCCTTGGGTAGTGATGGGCGGGGTATAAATCCAATATCCTCGTCCTCTTCTTCTTCTTCTTCGCCTCTATGGCCCTGTTTCATGCCCCTCCAGGGCAACTGGTTATCCACTGTGTGAAACAGGATGTTGCACAAGATGGGCTGCTGGTTTGATCGGGCTCTTTTTATATTAAGGCCCCGGTCACACGGGCTGGATATCGTGGGGGGGAGGCGTGGCTGTTTCCCCCGGGGCTAAACAACGCACGGTTGCACGAGCAGGCCTACCGTGGAGGTCCTGTGGAGGTCCCGTGGCAGAGGGGAGGTGCCGATCACTCCACAGTCCTGCGGCGCGACAAAGAAGCGGGGTGCGGGGGCAAACGGGGTTGTTGTGGTTTTTTTAAACTCAAATGTGCGCATCCTCCCTTGGATGCTTGTGCGCATCCGTGGAGACTTTGAAAAAAGAAACCTTTTTGCGAGGGGACATGGGCGGGCGCCAGAACTACCACCGGAAACCTGATCAGATGCCCGCCCTTGCCCCGCAGTTTCAGGAAACTAGTACCTCCGAGGTACTGCGGTGGCTCAAGTGGTTAAGACGCTGTACTGCAGGCTGTGGAAGGTCGGTAGTTCAGCAGTTCGAGACCCGGGTGCTGCAAGACGGAGTGAGCTCCCGTCTCTAGTTCCAGCTCCTGCCAACCTAGCAGTTCGAAAGCAAGAAATTGCAAGTAGATAAATAGGTACCACTTCGGTGGGAAGGTGACAGCGTTCCGTGCGCCTTGGTGTTTAGTCATGCCGGCCACGTGACCACGGAAACATCTTTGGACAGCGCTGGCTCTTCGGCCTTGAAACGGAGATGAGCACCGCAACCCTAGAGTCAGATTCGACTGGCTTTCGAGCAAGGGAACCTTTACCTTTACCTTTTACTAGTTTTTTACCCCGCATCTTCGGCGGGAAGCCTCGGGTAAGCCACGGGAGCTCGACGCTTCCCAGATGTGGCGGTGAGATCGCGCCCGGGAAATCCGCCTATCTTCCGTCCCTCTAGCGTGCCTAATGCTCCGTGTGACCGCAGCCTAAGATTTGCTTCCCCACATAAAAGCCCTAGAGAGACAGAAACCCTCTATTCCCCCCTGCTTCAGAAGAGTTGCCATCTCTGGGTTGAGAAATTCCTGGAGATTTGGGGGGTGGAACCAGGGGTGGGCAAGGTTAGGGTAAGGGAGGGATCTCTGCACTGTCTATTGCCATACAGTTCACCTTTCAAAGGAGCCATTTTGTACTGAGGGACTGATCTCTGTAGTCTGGGGGGTCAGTTGTAAATGTGGGGGGTCTCCAGGCCACACCTGGAGCTTGGCAACCCTACACTTCATCCCCGTGCTTCAGTCCGGGAGGCTGGTAACCCTGTGCTTCAGTTCACAACTGTTGTCTCCTCTGTCCCTATTCCAAACTCAAATGGCTGTTACTTCATACACGCAAACACGCCGACACCTCCCCTCAGCTGAGGAAGTCAACTGCTCGAAACTGTGAAGATTGTCTTTACTGACAGGAAGAGGGGGAATTCCTCACAAAGCACAAGCGACCTCTTCAAGGAGTTCATTTTGTAAATCTGAGTCCTGACGGACGCATCCGATAGCAGATAACGCTTACAAAAGTTGCTGTTTTGAAATACATCGACTTTCTTCCTCATGGAACGAGTTTCACAAAGAAACCTTGTGAAGATCAGACCGGCCGGATGACTCTCCGTGGTCTTACTCACTGTTGCTCTTTCTCCCAATCCACGTGTTTGGGCCTCCCTGTGTTTCTTCACCCACCCTGCCATTATCCCCTACACAGTGTTAGGGATGCCAACTTCCAGGTGTGACCTAGGGACTTCCTGGGATTGAAGCTCCTCTCCAGACTACAGAGATCAGTTCCCCTGGAGAAAATGGATGCTTTGGAAGGTGGACTCTATGGCGTTGTACCCCACTGAGGTCCCTGTCTTCCCCAGGCTCCATCCTCAAATCTCCAGGAATTTCCCAGCCTGGATCCGGCAACCCTAACTCAGTGTTCCTTCTGAGCTGAGTTAGTGTGAGCTAGCTCATCCTTTTTTTAGCCTCCCGCTCACACATTTTTGCCTTCGCTCAGGAAGGAGGGCTCCAGAGCAAACTAATTGATGCAGCAGCCAAATCGCTCGCTCACAACTTTAAGGCCAGCAGCTCACAAAGTAGAATGTTTGCTCACAAGACTCCACAGCTTAGAGGGAGCATTGCCCCCCCCACCCTCCACTGGTGGCCAAGGGGGACCTGGCAACCCTACAGTGTGCGCAGTGGCCTCATACAAACTATCTGTCCGAATGTTTTCCTCCTTCAAGTGCCTGCTCAAAACCCACATGTTCCCGAGCAACCTTTCTCACATCCCATTCGGCTCACGTGCCCTTCATTATCTGTCAGGTTTCCATAAAAGCCAATGCAAACAATTATGACATTGCATTCTCTCGGTGCCTGATTACCTGCCTGGTAAATGCAGTGCAATTTCTATTTCCACACTTTGCCAGCTGGAAGGGGGAAAAAATCTTCAGATGGCTGAAACATTTTTAAAAACATTAAAAACATTAAAAATACTTTATGCCAAATATTGGAGAAGAACAGAAACACCTTCAAGAGAAGAACTGTTAAAAAAAAATTGGAAATGGACAAATTAACCCTAACTTTTAAACCAGAAACCACATTTGAAAATACATGGTCGAGATTTTATAAGGGGTTGGAAGAATACAATAAGTAAATTATATAGACATTTAACACTGTTAAGTACAATTTTGATATATTTGCAAGCGATATACATAATGATATAAGGTGAGATATATAAATGTATGATAAATTAGGCATGAGTTTGTCAAGAAGAAATTGTAAGAATAATTTCCCCTCTTTTATGTTTGTTATGTCTTTAAAGGGAGCTGCGGTGGCTCAAGTTCCCTTTTGAAGCCGTCCATGCTTGTAGCACCCACCACTTCCTGTGGCAGTGAATTCCATGTGTTAATCACTCTTTGGGTGAGCTCCTGCTTCCTTTTATCTGTTCTAACCCGACCGCTCAGCAATTTCATTGACTGCCCACGAGTTCTCATATTGTGAGAAAGGAAGAAAAGTACCTCTTTCTCTACCTGCTCTATCCCATGCATAATCTTATAAATCTCAATCATGTCACCCCTCAGTAGTCGTTCCTCCAAGCTAAAGAGCCCTAAGCGCTTTAACCTTTCCTCATAGGGAAAGTGTTCCAACCCTTTTATCATTCGAGTTGCCCTTTTCTGCACTTTTTCCAAAGCTATAATATCCTTTTTAAGGTGTGGTGCCCAGAACTGCACACAGTATTCCAAATGAGGTCTCACCATTGATTTATATAGGGGCATTATTATATTGGCTGATCTGTTTTCAATACCCTTCCTAATAATCCCCAGCATAGCATTGGCCTTCTTTATTGCAGTCACACACTGTCTCGACATTTTCAGTGAGTTATCCACTACAACTCCAAGATCTCTCTCTTGCTCAGTCTCTGCCAGTTCAGACCCCATCAATGTGTATTTATATTTAGGATTTTTGGCTCCAATGTGCATCACCTTGCACTTGGCCACATTGAACCCCATTTGCCATGTTGACGCCCACTTGCCCATCTTTGACAGATCCCTTTGGAGTGCCTCACAATCCTCACTGGTTTTCACCACCCTGAACAACTTTGTATCATCCGCAAATTTAGCCACTTCACTGCTTACTCCCAACTCCAAATCATTAATGAACAAGTTAAAAAGCAGTGGACCAAGTACTGATCCCTGTGGTACCCCACTGCTTACCCCCCTCCACTGGGAGAACTGCCCATTTATACTCACTCTCTGTTTTCTATTAATTAGCCAGTTTTTGATCCATAAAAGGACTTGTCCTTTTATCCCATGATTTTTGAGCTTGCTTAGGAGCCTTTGATGAGGAACTTTATCAAAAGCTTTCTGGAAGTCAAGGTAAATAATATCTATTGGATCCCCCTTGTCCACATGTTTGTTCACCCCCTCAAAGAACACTAACAGGTTAGTGAGACAAGATCTTCCCTTACAGAACCCATGTTGAGTCTGCCTCAATAGGTTTTGTTCATCTATGTGCCTACTAATTCTTTCCTTAATAATGGTTTCCACCAATTTACCCGGTATCGACGTCAGACTGACTGGCCTGTAATTTCCCGGATCTCCTCTGGAACCCTTTTTAAAGATGGGAGTGACATTTGCTACCTTCCAGTCCTCAGGAATGGAGGCAGATTTTAAGGAAAGATTACATATTTTTGTAAGGAGATCCACAAGTTCACATTTGAGTTCTTTCAGAACTCTCGGATGTATGCCATCTGGGCCTGGTGATTTATCAGTTTTTAAGTTGTCTATCAGTTTTAGGACCTCCTCTCTCGTCACCTCAGTCTGACTCAGGACTTTCAACACCCCTCCTGAAATCAGCGGTTCTGGAGTGGGTAAGCACTTCTCATCTTCCACAGTGAAGACAGAGGCAAAAAATGCATTTAGCTTCCCAGCCATTTCCCTATCATCTTTTTTCCCTATCATCCTTCAGCACTCCTTTTACCCCTTGGTCATCCAAGGGTCCCACTGCCTCCCTGGCTGGTTTCCTGCTTCTAATGTATTTGAAGAAAGTTTTATTGTTGGTTTTTACATTTTTTGCTATATGCTCCTCATATTCCCTTTTTGCCTGCCTGACCACAGACTTGCATTTTATTTGCCATAGCCTGTGCTCTGTTTTATCATCCTCACTGTGACTAGCTTTCCACTGCTTAAAGGAATCCTTTTTACCTTTTACAGCTTCCATTACTTTGTTTGTTAACCATGCAGGCTTTTCCCTATACCTGTCTGTGCCTTTCCTAACCTGCAGGATATATTGTTTCTGAGCTTCTAGGATCATAGTTTTAAATACTTTCCAATCTTCCCAAGTCATGCTGGCCACATGACCATGGAAATATCTTTGAACAGCGCTGGCTCTTCGGCTTGGAAATTGAGATGAGCACCGCATCCCTAGAGTCAGATTTGACTGGCTTTCAAGCAAAGGAAACCTTTACCTTTACCTATGTCTTTAAAATAAAAAAATGGGGAAAAAACATTTTTATTCATTTGGAACATGGTGCTTCATTTCCTTTTGGTGCGCTTGATGTGCCTCTAGTGAGAAGGCAAGTAAAATATTTTTCCCGTTTCAAAGCAACTTACCCTTTTCTTTTAGTACAGCTTTCGTCGCCCTGGTCATCGGCCGCTCAGAGAAATCGTCTGCGTGGTTTATCAGCCCTTCTCTCACTGCCTCATATCCAGAAAGCACCACAGCCGCTTGGGAGCCCATCCACATCGTATAAACATTCCCATATATCTTAGCCAGCTGCCATTGGATCAAAAGAGCAAAGAAAAGTGTTAAAGCCGGACAGAGCCAGACAATCTCAGCTGCTTCATATTCAGCTATATAGTTCCTGGCCCCAGGCAGAGAGAACTTGGGTCATTCTCCCTCTCCGTTGTTGTCATCATTATTCTGCCAATATTCATCACTTTGCACTTGCTCACATTGAATTTCAGTTGCCGTTTTAATGTCCATTCCCCCAGTTCTTTTTCACGAAAACTTTCGATAAGGTACCGAAAATTCGGGTCATCACTGTGGTAGGGCAAGGGCAGTATCCATGAGGTCAAGTCGGGGGCCACTTATTTCATGGGCCCCTGGGACAGAGTGTCCCGGGGGGGGGGCTCTGCATTTTTCAGCAGTTTATATTCGCCCTCCATTGGATGTAACGTCAGTCTTCTGACTCTTAAGATATAGTTGCGAAGAAGAGGAAGAGGAGGAGATTGGATTTATACCCCGCCCTTTGCTTGGAGTGTCAGAGTGGCTTACAATCTCCTTTCCCTTCCCCTCCCCACAACAGACACCCTGTGAGGTAGGTGGGGCTGGGAGAGCTCTTTCAAGAACAGCTCTGAGACATGTGACTGACCCAAGGTCACAGAAGCAACTGCATGTGGAGAGTGGGGAATCAAACCTGGTTCTCCCAGATTAGAGTCCACACCCTTAACCACTACACCAAACTGGCTCTCCAAGTTGGCCACATTTTACCCAGAATCTGGGCAAGACACCCAATGTTCTTTTGGCCTATTAGCTGAGATGAACTCCAGCTTTCATTGTTTTAGAAGAAAGCAAGACTCTAGGCATTCAAGGTTGGGATATTGAAGCCAAAATGTAAATACAGTTTTCTGCTTAATTTATGCAGTGCAAACAAGCCATGTTGGATCAGGCCAATGGCCCACCCAGTCCAGCACTCTGTGTCACACAATGGTAAGAACCCAGGTGCCATCAGGAGGTCCACCAGCGGGGTCAGAACTTCAGAAGCCCTCCCACCGTTGCGCCCTCCCCCCCGCCAGCACAAGCACACAGAGAATCACTGCCCCAGACAGAGTGTCCCATCTACACCTTGGGGCTAATAGCCACTGATGGACCTCTGCTCCAGATGATTATCCAATTCCCCTCTTACCTTTGTCCCAATCAATGGCAGTAGCCACGTTTGTATTTGATAGGGCCTTCAGTGCCAATTGGCAGTCGACTTTATTACTAATTCATCTGGTGCAAGTTTGATATTTATTTCTGGAAGCAGTGGTGTCGGGAAAGAATTTGGCTTACCTACAAATCTAAATAAAAGCAATTGGCTTGTATTATTTTCTTTTCATACAGCCTAATTTCTCTCTCTCTTTTTTTTTGGGGGGGGGGGCGGGGGTCAGGATTCAATAACGCTCTGAATGAAAAGACGTTCAGGTTCAGTGTAACGTTTCTGCACAGTAGGACTCACTTTTATCTGTATATTCTGAAGAAATAGTGTTATTCCTATTACCTGATGATCTTCCTAGTGTTACTAGACCTTGCAACTGCACCATCCTGCTTGGACTCTTTCCATAGTCATCCAAGATTTAGAGGGGACTGAATGAGCTTTATTCCGCAAACAGCCAGACTTCTAACCTAAGCAGAACCAGCAGAAGAGTTGCTTGTAATACCCCATTTTTCTCTAGCTGAAGGAGTCTCAGGCCCTGTCCATACGAGGCAGTTTGGGCCAGGAGGGGGATGGAACGGGGGCAGAGCAAACGGGCGCGATCCCACGGCAACATCTGGGAATCGTTGCCTGCCCGTCCCTGTTCCGTCCCAAACGGCGATACCAAGCTGTAAAAAAGAACCACCTACCTAGGTGGTTGTATCCCTTCCAGCGCCACAAGCCGGGCCGTGGGATCGGGCAGTGCGTCCTTGCGCCGCCGCATCCCGGCCCCCGGCTGTACTGCGCATGCTTGAGCATGCGCAGTTCAGCAGCCTCCCCCTCCCATCGGACTTTCCTCCTACAGGCACCTTGTGTGGCAGGTGGGGCTGAGAGAGTTCTGAGAGAACGGTGACTGGCCCAAGGTCACCCAGCTGGCTTTATGTGGAGGAGTGGGGAATCAAACCCAGTTCTCCAGATTAGAGTCCGCCATGCTTAACCACCA